GCCTCCCAAAGTGCTAGGATTATAGGCATGAGCCACTGTGCCGGCGACTTTTTTTTCCTAAGTGACTGACCAAAGCAGTCCAGTAACCTTGAGTTATATGCAGCTATAAAGAAAAAACTAGGAAAGAAAATATGTTAATTACTTAAAGTAATTTAAATTTAAAAGTAAAAGCCTTTAGGGTTTTCCTGACCGTGCTCAGTCCTCTGCATCCAAACAACATATTGGAAGCTAATGAGAACCAGGTAGCCTGAGTAGGTTATCCAGGACTGGATGCCATGCTAGGCTAATTCCATTCCCCAAGTTCTTATGGTCTGTGTCCCCTTCCCTGTTCCTGGAAGGAGCCTACCTTATAGGAGTTGTCTTACCCTTGCAGCTGACTGGGAGTGGAGTTCTCAATTGAAGCCCTCAACAGGCTCTCATATATGGGTTCATGCAGAAGATAGACCAGGTCGAGCAGTGTCAGACAGGTTGCATGCAGCCTCATGGCTGGAACCAAACAGCCATTGTATCCTAGATGGAGTATGGGAATGATAGGGATAATTTATAATCCTATCTTCTCTGATCATAACCACAGTTGTGACATAAAGCTGTTGAGGTGCTAATGTGCTTCCTGGTTGCTATGTTCTGCAAGAAACCTGTTTAGCTGGAGATCAGTTTTGAAGGACAAAAGTAAAGGTAGAGAAACCTCCATCTGTAGTATATGTACAATTAGCATGTAGTTGTCCCTGTCTTATCTTATGCTTTTCTATAAAGTCAACTCTTTGATCCTGCAATAAGAGTGCCTAGTAAGTCCAAACAGAAACCAGTTGCTAAGACACTCTGAGCTTCTTTCCCTGACAAGTGCCAGAGGGAACACCTTTTTCAGTCATCCAGAGACACCATCAAGCTTCCTACTGTTCCTCATTGGCAGGTTCTGCCCACTGCTCCCAAATTCCTGTGCACAATTTTTTTTTTTTTTGAAAAGGAATCCTCTCTGTCGCTCAGGCTGGAGTGCAGTGGCACGATCTTGGCTCACTGCAACCTATACTTCCCAGGTTCAAGCAACTCTTGTGCCTCAGCCTCCCAATTAGCTGAGATTACAGGTGCCCACCACCACACCCAGCTAATTTTTGTATTTTTAGTAGAGATGGGGTCTCACTATGTTGGCCAGGCTGGTCTTGAACTCCTGGCTTCAAGTGATCCACCTGCCTCAGCCTCCCAAAGTGCTAGGATTATAGGCATGAGCCATGCCCGCCTCCCCTTGCACATTTTGTATTGTTTTCTATGGAAGTCTCCAACCCATATTCCCTAACACAGTAAGATACCTAAAACCTCTAGGAGCATCTCCACATATGCCAGGGGAGTGGGCAGATTAATTTGGAAGTTCAGGGACTTCAAAACATCAAGCTCTGACTCCAGCAGTTCTTCTTTAGTGTGTAGATAGCCTAGAGCCTGGAGGAAATTCAAGACTGTAATGTTGCTGATTATCTGAGCAAAGAAAAGAGAAGGAAAGAAGAATGTTAGGATAAAGGCCATACATCTTGGCAGAGTGCACAAAGCCCTTCATAATCCAGCCCATTCCTTCATCTCAGTCTTGTCTCATGGTAATTCCCCCTCATATTCTGCTTGTCATACAGAATTACTTGCAGTTTCCAAACCCACCATGCTGTCCCTCTCCAAGCCACTACACAGGCTGTTTTCTATACCTGGATCTCCCTTCTTTTCCTCCCTAATTCCTCTCCCTCTTCTCTTGGGATCCTCCCATTTCCCATCCACCCCATTTCAAGAAGTCATTCAAGGCTGATGAGGTACATTTATAGCCCTCTATTTACATTAATCGGAGCTTTTTTTCCACACTATTTGTATGTGTCTTTTCCCATTACATAATAGATTCCTTGTTAGCACAGACAATATTGTTTACTGTTGTAGCCATGGCACCTAGTGCAGCGTCTGGCCATAGAATGAACTCAGTAAGTATTTGTTGAATGAATGATATTTTACTGTGTAGACATTGGGTAGTGATGTGGAAACATTTTTTTCCCCTTGTAAATGTAATAGTGTGTCTTTACTGCTGATAGGTATGCTGGCAATTCAGGCACCTTATGTAAACTGCCCTTGAGTCCAAGGGGAGGAAAGGTGACCAGTATGAATGATGGCATCTGTCCCAATTATACTTTGGGAACAGAACTTCAGGCTATTTAATACCTGCCTCTGTGTGAGTGAGAGGGGGAGAAAGAGTGAGCATGTGTGTGTGTGTGTGTGTAGGAGGTATGCTTAGGAAGCATAATTACACTCTGGAATTTCCACGAGTTGTATCACCTAACCTAGGAGTAGGTTTCTCACAGCTACCTAGTTTTTTTTGTTGTTGGTTTTTTTGAGACAGTCGTTCTGTTGCCCAGGCTGGAGTACAATGGCACGACCTCAGCTCACTGCAACCTCTGCCTCCCGACTTCAAGCAATTCTCCTGCCTCAGCCTCCTGAGGAGCTGGAATTACAGGTGTACACCACCACACCTGGCTAAGTTTTGTATTTTAGTAGAGATGGGGTTTCACCGTGTTGGCCAGGCTGGTCTTGAACTCCTGATCTCAGGTGATCCACCTGCCTCAGCCTCCCAAAGTGCTGGGATTACAGGCATGAGCCACCATGCCTGGCCGTTGTTTTTACTTTGTAATTTATTTATTTTCTTCTTGTCACTGAGTTGAAGCTCATCACAGCCCCCTTTGTATAAAAGCCGGTTTCTTCCTTACACTCAGGTGCCCATGAGCAACCCCAGCTCCTTACTTTGTTTTGGAAGGAAAGTTTGCTGGCCAACTGAACACATGACACAAGACGGAGAGTAAACTTGTTGACAAGCTGCTGTTTCAGAGCCCTCCAATTCTGAGACTCTCTCTTATTATCTCTTGGCTGGATTGTGGCTTGCCTGCAGATGTTCTCTGCCTGTTTTACCATAAACCTATAAGGAAGGGAAGGAGAGTAAACAATCCACACTCAAACTAAAGGGAGTTTAATTTGCTGGCTAAGAAATTTATATTTGAGGCTGAGCATGGTGGCTCGCACCTGTAATCCCAGCACTTTGGGAGGCCAAGGCAGGCGGATCACTTGAGCCCAGGAGTTCAAGACCACCCTGGGCAACATGGCAAAAACCCGTCTCTACCAAAAATAAATAAATAAATAAATTAGCCAAGTGCCAAGTGTGGAGGCACATGCCTGTAGTCCCAGCTACTCAGTAAGCTGAGGTGGGAGGATCACTTGAGCCCAGGAGGTCAAGGCTGTAATGAGCCGAGATCCCACCATTGCATTCCAGCCTGGGTAACAGAGCAAGACCCTGTCTCAAAACAACAATAACAACAAATTTATATTTGCAAGTTAGAGAGGGTATAAAACCAGGTCTCCGGGTAAGGGGCAACTACTTGTACTTTCTTAAAGATGTAGGTACATTAGCCACTCTGAGAGGTGCTGCTCACAAAGGCGTTACGGCAGGGCTTTACCTTTCTAGGATTTCTACAGCCTGGTAGCTCACAGATTTCTCCAGACACCATTGTTCAGACAGGAGAAAAACAAACTCTGCCAAAACAGGAAAAAAGAGCCTAATTCACAAGATGCAACCAAAACCACTCTGTGAACTCTTGGCGTTGTGTAAAAGCCATGATGGGGCCAAGGGAAGAGGGTCAGGAGGTGAGAAAGATGAGACTAAAACAACCAAAGCTGAGCTTAGTTTCCTTTGCTGCCAATAGGCAGATCAGAGGCATGAAAAGGAGGCTGACTGAGTGCCAAAGACAAGGGTTTACCAAGCCCCCTCAGTGACCCTTGAGCCTTCGTGTGGGTTTCAGCTGATAAAAGGCTTGGCCGGTTACACACAAACATACCAGCTGGTCTAGGTGACCTCTACACCATGCTGGGAACCCCCAGCTTCAAGGAAGATTCTTGGATGGATAAAAACCCTAACTGCTATATTCTGTTTTCTGTGGAATGTTGGCAGGAACAGAAAGATCCCTCCTGGAGCTTCGATATTCTTTATGACACTGTTTGTTTAGTAACCACCCTCTGGAGAACTCCCATTGCTTTACAAACACAAGTCACCTTACAGCTGGACACCATCTCTCCACCACCAGTTTGTTGGGTAAATCTGGTGGCTGAGCCTCTCCCCAGGAGCAAGTGTGTTACTGTGAAGTGGCTTGTTTTTGAAGAAACATCCCCTAAATTGGGGAACATAGCCCAATTTAGGGGGAGGGAGTCATTGGGAAGGTGGGAAGGGTGAGATACCTTGGCAAGATTTTAGCCTGCCTCTGTTTCTCTTTGCAAGAACAGCTCCAGATAGAATTATATTTATCTTGCAATATCATTAGAGGGTGGAAACAAAGGTAAATATCAGTTCTCAACAAAGAAAGCTCCTACAGACCGAAGACCTTTTAGCATTGATCAGTAGAGAATTACACATTTAGTCAAATAATCATATGTCTTCAGAGAAAATTTAACTTTCTTAGAAAATGAAGTCAAGCTTACACAAGACAGTTTAACAATCTACTCAGCACACATTACACATAGACGTACAAAACCTCATCGTTACAGAGGCTACGGTTTGGCTAGTAATGTCTAATGCAGAACAGAATTAGTTTAAACAATTCAGCAAAATACCCTAGAACATGTAATTGTGTCTCTTATTAGTCATTTTATTTGCTTGACTTTAGGCTTTATTTCTTAGTTTTGTTCTTTGTGTGTGTGTGCAGTTGTTGAGTTTTGGTTTGGTTTTGCTCTGAATTATCTAGGCATTTGTTTCTGTTTTCCATTTTAATTTGCCAAGGAAACTGAGCTTGGATTAGGTGGAATGGATGAGGGTTACACCTTTCCCTTGCTATTGGCCCCACCTCCTCAATAACAATCATAGTCAGATCTGCTATTAACTAAAAGACCCTCCCCTTTTAACCTCTTAGGGTAGGGCTCCACCTCTCTCTTTTCCATCACTGTTGAATTTTTTAAAACAAACAAATAAATAATAAATAGACGGGATCTTGCTACATTGCCCAGGCTGGTCTCAAACTCCTGGGCTCAAGCAGTCCTCCTGTCTCAGCCTCACTGTTGAATTACTTGAAAGCCTGGCTTACACACCTACTGCTTCCACTTCATCATTCACTCCCTAATTTTCTATATGTTGGCTTCTACCTTTCCTAACTTGCTGAAATGATTCTCAGAGGACAGTAAATATGTCCAAATTGTTAAATATCATGGCTTTTTGCAATCTTTAGTTCTGTTGATATCCCTAAAGCATCTGAAACTTCTGACCATCATCCTTTTCAGTCTCCTCTTGACTTCCAAAAGTCCCTTGGTTCTATTCCTATCTCCTCCTTTTATTTCCTTCACAAGTCTTCTTACTCCAATTCCCTGAACAAAAAGTGTTTTCCCAAGGAACTGTCCTTGACCTGCTTTTCTTTTCTCCTTCTAGGAGCTCATCCTCTGCCACAGTTTCAACAGTATCATTGTGAAGGTAACTTGAAAACCTTGATCTCCATTTCTGACCTCTCTTCTAACATATATATATATGTGTGTGTGTATGTATATATATTTTTTATTTTTATTTTTATTTTTTTTGAGACAAGGTCTCACTCTGTTACCCAGGCTGGAGTGCAATGGCATAATCTCAGCTCACTGCAACCTCTGCCTCCCATGTTCCAGCCATTCTCCTCTGCCTCAGCCTCCTGAGTAGCTGGGATTACAGTTGCCTGCTACCACGCTAGGCTAATTTTTGTATTTTTAGTAGAGATGGGGTTTCACCATGTTGGCCAGGCTTCAAAGCTATTATTATCTTTCCCAAACAAAAGTCACTTTTCCTCCTGCTTTATCTGTGTAGTGTGTCTGTGTGTTTCTTTTCTTTTTTTGGAGACAGAGTCTTGCTCTGTCACCTAGGCTGGAGTGCAGTGGCACGATCTTGGCTCACTGCAACCTCCGCCTCCCAGGTTCAAGCAATTCCCCTGCCTCAGCCTCCCGAGTAGCTGGGACTACAGGCACCTGCCACCACACCCAGCTAATTTTTGTATTTTTAATAGAGACGGGGTTTCCCTATGTTGGCCAGGCTGGTCTCGAACTCCTGACCTTGTGATCCACCCACCTCAGCCTCTCAAAGTGTTGGGAATACAGGTGTGAGCCACCGTGCCCGGCTGTGTCTGTGTGTTTCTTTTAGTGACCACTATACTTCCAGTCTTCTAGGCTCAACCGTTTAGCATAGTCACCTTTTTCTCCTTCACTTCCTAAATGTATACACAGCAGAACCCTAGACTTTGCCTCTGGAATGTTTTTAATACACCCTCCCTTGTTATTCCCTCTACCCTATCACCTAACCTGGTGACATTGACTCTACCTGTCTGCCTACCTCCCATCTCCCTCTGGTTTAATCCATCCTTTACCTCCCTTACATCACTGCCAAAATAATGCTTACTAAGGGAGGGTTACCGTCATATCCCTTATTTAAAAACCTTCAATGTCTTCTTGGTTTTCTACTAAACCAAGGATAAATTCTTCCCCTTGGCATTCAAACTTCCACATGGAATGTCTCCAAACTACCTTTCCAGTCTTAATTTCAACTCTCTTCCACATGCATTGGCCGACATGGACTGCACTGTACCCACATGCACCCTAAGCACCCCATTTCCATAGCATTACTCATGCTACCTCTTTTTGGTAGAAACGCTGTCTCCTTCCTCCCCCTTCACCAAACCAATGTCCTCCTTCCTTCAAGGTCTGCCTGAAATGTCCGATGCCTGGGCCATCCCCTGAATTCTTCCTATTACCATATCGCTCCTCTCAACCCCCATAAACGCTTGTTTTATCGCTCTCTGACATCACTTATCTAATCATAGTACCTAGTCATTGCATATTTGTTCTAATATCTCCCCCAACTTGCACATGGTTTGAAGGCAAGACCTCTATCTCTATT